AAATCATTAAAACATGTTCCACAGTTTCTGGCTGGCTACAGTGTGTACACTTTCCGGTTGGATGCTTTCCTATTCTACTCAATGTATGATTGAGACCTGTATGACCTATTCTCATCCGAGAAATGACATGTTCCTCCCTTCTTTTAAACCCCACCTTCCTTCCATCCCCCACATACCTTTGAATGTTATAAAGATGTCTTCCTGTATCACTAAGGTCCCAATGTTCTTGCCATGTTGTTTGTGCATATTTATGTATGAATGTTTTAACCTCCGCTTTGCTAAGTGGAACTTCTATGTCTATGTTCATAATTCTGAGTGTTTGTTTGGCCAGAATATCCACCTGTTCATTACCCTCCACACCAACATGAGCAGGAACCCAGATGAAACTAGTTGCTATGCCTTTGATTTGCATTTTATATCAAATTAGAAATATTTCATTTATTATGTCCATTCTAAATGAAGATCTGCCTGATCGTATACTCGATAATGCTGAAAAACTGTCCGATGCAATTACACTATTATGTATTTCTTTCCCCTCTATCCATTTCAATGCCAACACCAATGCCCACAACTCTGTGGTGTATACTGACACATGGTCTGTTACCCTTTTCTTTATATGTGTATTACTCACTGGGATATAAACTGCTGCCCCTGCACGCCCTGTCTCTGGGTCTTTGGAGCCATCTGTAAATATGATTGTTGAGTCTGAGTCTGGACTATGCGCCATACTGGTAGTAGTTCTTTCTTTTCCTTCAACTCCCTTTGTATATTGAGGTCTACCCTTGGCAATGGGAATAACCAGGGTGGAATGGACGAGATTGGAACTGTGGGGCAATACTGTATTTTATTCAAACCTATACTTGCTGCTTTAACATCGCCAATCCATCCAACACGTGTTAAATGTGACTCATCGTGCTCCCAGCAGTCTTTCAAAATACTTTTCGCAGGATGACTATCACAATGCCCCTGAAGGTTTACCCAGTATGCCAACATTAACTTAACTCTTCTTATCCTTAAAGGCATTTCTCCCATTTCCACCTGTATTGCTGATACTGGAGATGTTTTAAAAGCTCCACTACATATTCTCAGGGCCTGAGCTTGTAGGACATCCAGTTTTTTAAGGTTAGATTCTGCTGCTGCCATGAACGCTATACACCCATAATCTACTACAGGTCTCATGAGTGCCCAATATATATTCAGAAGTGATGATCTACTCGCTCCCCACTCCTGTCCCGCCAAACACCGAAGTACATTGTTGACCTTTTTACATTTATTTTGAACTTTGCCTATATGATTGCTCCATGTTAGCTTTCAAACCAAACACCAAGACATCTTATTGTATTAACCTGTTCAAGAGGTTGCTCATACAATTTTAACGATATAGGAGCAATTTTATGCCGTTTTGTAAAACAAATGACCTGCGTCTCAGCTACTGACAGTTTGAATCCCCATTTATTTGTCCATTTCTCCACTTCAACTATTGCAGCTTGTATTTTCTTTCCAACATGTGCTACATTGCGACCTTTTGCCCACAAAGCCCCATCATCTGCATACAAAGATTTTCCCACACTTGGATGAACTTGATTAAAAATGTCATGTATCATTATATTGAACAGCAACGGACTACATACACTACCTTGTACCATTCTCCACAGCATAAACACTTGAGTACTCTGCACCTACTCTTACTTGTATTTTCCTGTCCAGTAAAAAATTCATAACCCAATTATATGCTTTACCACCAATTCCCAATGATTTTAACTTGATTAGTAGTCCTTCCTTCCAGAGCATGTCATAAGCCTTTTCAATATCAAAGAAGACTGCAATCACTACTTCCTTGTTGGTCTGTGCTTTCCTGATGTCTGATTCTAAGCACAATATAGAATCCATTGTATTCCGACCCCTGACCCCTCTGAAACCCACTTTGATACGGGGACAACAGAGCTTTACTTTCTAAGATATATGTTAACCTTTCTGTAACCATTCTTTCCATCATTTTGCATAAATGAGATGTCAGGGCAATAGGTCTGTAGCTAGATGGATCTGAAGGGTCTTTCCCTGGCTTTCGGATGGGCACTAGAATCCCACACCCTGTTAAACAACCTTAACACAATGACTAGAGTGTTATCTGTCATGTGTTCCAACATTTTGTAACAAACACCATCTTTCCCAGGAGTGGTTTGACGAGCACTAATAATTGCTCTTCTCAACTCAAACATACTAAAATGCAGGTCCAACTGATCCCCTAACACTTCTACTCTATCCAATATTCTCAGGTTTTCCATTAGTGTATTATTTCTGCACTGCCTGGCTTCCTCTGTAAGGTTATCCGAACTATGAACTTTCCTAAATGTTTGAGCTAGAAGTTCCGCCTTTCCTAAGTTTGTGACAGCCATTATGTCCCCTCTGCTCAAAACTGGCAACTCATAATTCCTTCGAATTCCACCCATTCTCCTGATCATGCCCCAAACATCTGCAAGCTGTACTTCTCTTCCAATACTATTGCAATATTGCCTCCAAAAAGTGCGTTTTTGCGTTCTTATTGTTCTCCTTACTATAGCCTGGGCCCTTTCATACTGATTCAAAGCTTCCTGAGAAAGGAGTTGTTTGAGTTGCCTGAATGCTTTATTTCTGTCTTTAATGGACTTGCTACATTCATCATTCCACCAGGGTACACTCTTGGTACGCCTAGCTCCTGCAATCTTCGGAATTGTTTCTTTAGCTGAATGAATGATAACCTTGACCAGCTCATCATTGAATTTATTTATATCATCAAAATGTTCCTCTTGAAGTGTTTTACATCTATTCGTACTTACAACTTGGAAGGCATCCCAATTAGCCTTTCCCAATTTCCACCTAGGAATTTTCTTTTCCTTTTCAAAACTCATGTTGGTTCCAACTTTAGTCATCACCGGATAATGATCGCTGCCCACTGTAGTATGCTTTACCACATCCCATGTACTTATACCTGCTATAGCACTAGATACAAATGTCAGATCGAGTACTGTTTCTATATTCTTCGTACAATTATATCGTGTTCCTTCCCCAGTGTTAATACACACTAGCCCGTGGTCATCTATAAATTCCTCAACTACTGCACCATTTGCATCTGTGCTACTGCTTCCCCATAGCGAGTTATGTGAATTAAAATCCCCACACCATATTACTTTGTCTTGCAGTGAACCCCCAGCATCCTCTAATATACTTTGATCTCATTTCCCACATGGATTATAATCATTTACTATATCTATAGGTCCTCTATCATTCCATACCCTTATAACTATTGCCTCATGCTCTGTACTTACATGCATAACTTTGTAACTTATACCACTCTGTATGAATGTTGCAACTCCTCCCCCTCTGCCAGAGTCCCTATCTCGTCTAACTGCAGGATATCCCTTCACAATAAAATCCAGTTGTGGTTTCAGCCATGTTTCCTGGATACAAAGTACATTAGGTTTCTCTCCCAGGTTGTCTATATATTTTTTGAACTCTTGTCCATTTGCAATTAAACTTCTAGCATTCCACTGCAGTACAATGAACACCATCAGGATGATCCAGTCCATGTCTGAGATTGTTGGACGTCATCATTCAGGATATCTTTCACATGTTCCCAGTGCATCCCTTTCACCTCAAGGTACTTTTCAGCTGATTTGACAATTATTTTGATTCTTTCATTCCGGCTTTTAGTCTGCGCTGAACAGTTGATAATCTCTGCCATAAACAGTACAAACTCTCTTTGACTCACTATCAGAGTGTCCTCCTTCAACTTAACACAGTTGTGAACTTTTTCTGTTTCTTTGCTCTTTTTGTTGTTTTCCATTGTAACCTGCGTTCCTCCTGAAACGGTCTTTGCTGCCTCTGCATAGCTAACTCCCTGCGTCACCCTGACTCGCTGCACCTCTTCTGCTTTCTTGCTAACCTCACATCCACGGTACGCTGAGCTATGCTCCCCTCCGCAATTGCAACATTTCAGCTTTGCCCCTTCCTCACATTTGCCGTATTCATGATCTCCACCACATCTGCCACACCTTTGTTTTCCCTTGCACACTGCCGCCACATGTCCAAATCTCTGACATTTAAAACATCTTAGTGGTGGTGGAACATACGGTCTCACATAATAACACATATATCCAATGAGTATCTTTTCCGGAAGACTTTTTTCATCAAAAGTGATCAGAACCGAAAGACTATCCTCTTTGATCCCATTGCGGTTTGCTTTCATGCGTTTGACATCACTTATTCTTGCATTTGTTATATTCCCTTTCACATCCTCAGCTGATATTCTGACGGGGATTCCTGTCACAACTCCCCTGACTAGCTTTCTACCACTGAACAGTGAACATTCCACTTTCTTACCCTCCACAGTACTCATCGTTATTGCTTTCCCCTGTTGCTCTCTATCCCTACATTTGATCAACATTGATCCATTCCTCAATACTTTAGCACTCATCACCTCCCCGATTTCTTTACTGATGGATTTAGTTAACCGTATTGGGTTCCACACGCCAAACGAAGCTCCCTCTTGCGCAAGTTTCACAACCACCATGAACTCCTGTTGCCTATTTCCGACCACTCTTTCTCTCCTTTCACCCTCACTATTGCTCTCATCCGAATTAGTATTTCCTCCCTTTTTACGTTTATTTCTCCTCACTATATCCCATTTTCCATTTTCACAACTCCCGCCTGCGCCTGTTACGTCCATATCTCCTAACTCGCTTCCTGCCTCGTCACTTCCCTCTGCCATCTCTCGTCCAGTCACAGTCCAGTGTTGCCACCGCCGTCTACCAGAATCAGCTAGCCGATTCGCAGCCCGGCATCCTCATCTCCCACGTTTGCCTCCATTTTGTTCACGACTAGATGACTAGGGACTACAGCGCCGACTAGTGGTAGAGGTAGTCGACTAGTTGCTGAAACCCCTAGTGTGTGTGTGTTACCTTGCAGAAGGTCTGTGTGTGTGTGTGTGTGTGTGTGTGTGTGTGTGTGTGTGTGTGTGTTACCTTGCAGAAGGTGTGTGAGCAGGGCAGGGTCACCGGCTCCATGAAGATCTCCAGACAGACGGGGCAGCGACAGTCGTCCAGAGAGAGAGAGAGACCCTCCAGATCTGACACCAGCGACATCTTCCTCCTCCTCTTCCTCAGTCTGCAGGAGGAACAGGGAGGTTAGACTCAATGCTAACAGGAAGTTATTAAACCCTGTTCTAACCCTATATCTATCTTCCTCCTCCTCTTCCTCAGTCTGCAGGAGGAACAGGGAGGTTAGACTCAATGCTAACAGGAAGTTATTAAACCCTGTTCTAACCCTATATCTATCTTCCTCCTCCTCTTCCTCAGTCTGCAGGAGGAACAGGGAGGTTAGACTCAATGCTAACAGGAAGTTATTAAACCCTGTTCTAACCCTATATCTATCTTCCTCCTCCTCTTCCTCAGTCTGCAGGAGGAACAGGGAGGTTAGACTCAATGCTAACAGGAAGTTATTAAACCCTGTTCTAACCCTATATCTATCTTCCTCCTCCTCCTCTTCCTCAGTCTGCAGGGGGAACAGGGAGGTTAGACTCAATGCTAACAGGAAGTTATTAAACCCTGTTCTAACCCTATATCTATCTTCCTCCTCCTCCTCTTCCTCAGTCTGCAGGGGGAACAGGGAGGTTAGACTCAATGCTAACAGGAAGTTATTAAACCCTGTTCTAACCCTATATCTATCTTCCTCCTCCTCCTCTTCCTCAGTCTGCAGGAGGAACAGGGAGGTTAGACTCAATGCTAACAGGAAGTTATTAAACCCTGTTCTAACCCTATATCTATCTTCCTCCTCCTCCTCTTCCTCAGTCTGCAGGGGGACAGGGAGGTTAGACTCAATGCTAACAGGAAGTTATTAAACCCTGTTCTAACCCTATATCTATCTTCCTCCTCCCTCTTCCTCAGTCTGCAGGAGGAACAGGGAGGTTAGACTCAATGCTAACAGGAAGTTATTAAACCCTGTTCTAACCCTATATCTATCTTCCTCCTCCTCCTCTTCCTCAGTCTGCAGGGGGAACAGGGAGGTTAGACTCAATGCTAACAGGAAGTTATTAACCCTGTTCTAACCCTATATCTATCTTCCTCCTCCTCCTCTTCCTCAGTCTGCAGGGGGAACAGGGAGGTTAGACTCAATGCTAACAGGAAGTTATTAAACCCTGTTCTAACCCTATATCTATCTTCCTCCTCCTCCTCTTCCTCAGTCTGCAGGAGGAACAGGGAGGTTAGACTCAATGCTAACAGGAAGTTATTAAACCCTGTTCTAACCCTATATCTATCTTCCGCGTCTATAAACCTGACGTTAGCCAACAGGTATTCTGATTGATTGATTGATTGAAAAGTTTATTAACAGCTTGTATATTGGGTACAGTACAGTACAGCTAATCATTGAAATACCAACATGTGGCGACACTAACTCTAAAAGTTCACAGGTACGGTGTGTAGTAATAATCAGTTCGAACCCTAAATGAGATATTAAACCTGTTCTTTAACAGGATAACTCAAGTGTTCATCTGTTCTAACTGGAGCTGCTGAGCATCTGGTGACAAAACCAGTGGAGCTAATGTTAGGAGCTAGTTAGTAACTAGTTAGCTGTGTTTGGGACACAACAACAGAGACATAAAGAGTAAGAAATGACTCTGTGACATCCCACTCACCTGAGCTCTGCTTGTCACAGGTGGAGCTGAAGGTATATATTATAAAGACACAGGTAACAGTGAGCCCCTGACCGCAGTGTTTGTGTTAGCGGCTAACAGCTAGCAGCTAACTTACTGTGACAACAGTTAACACTATCTCAGGACTAACCGAGCTCCCCGGAGACTCACCGGATCTGTCCCGGTGTCAGACCCTCAGACTGTTCATATAAAGACCCTAAAAACTGTCGTATTTAACGGTTTATTGATCATACTTTACGGTAAACCGAATAAACTCCCCCGCGTGAATCTGTTGCTGACTGAATGCGCATGCGCAGAGTCTGTGTGATGACCGGGGCCCGTTCTCATTTCATCAAATGTCCCTCCTCGGCTCCCCTCCTCGACTCCCCTCCTCGACTCCTATCCTCGACTCCTATCCTCGAGACCTTGTCCCGCCCACAGGAGATGCGAGCGGAGGAGCCGAGGAGGGGAACCGAGGAGAGAGGAGGGGAAGCAGCAGGCGGTTAGAGAAATGAGAACTCCTCTCCTCTGAGCGGTCATTTTAAAGAGACGTCCATTAATGATGACAGGAGGCACAGCAGCCCTCTGTCTGATAGATAGATAGATAGATAGATAGATAGATAGATAGATCGTACTTTATTGATCCCAAATTGGGAAATTGTTTTTGTTACAGCAGCATAAAAGGCATTTTACAATAAAACAAAATATACAAGAATAGAAATAAAATAAAATAAAATATAAAATAAAATATAAAATATACATGTCAAAATACAAAATAGAAAATATACATACAGATATTATATATATATATATATATATATATATATATATATATATATATATATATATATATATCTCTGGTCTTGGCCACATTCAGAAGCAGATGATTTCTTCCAGTCCACTCAACAAAATCACCCACCAGCGCTCTGTACTCCTCCTCCCGTCCATCCCTTATACACCCTACCACTGCAGAGTCATCCGAAAACTTCTGCAGGTGGCATGACTCTGAGTTGTATAGAAAGTCAGAGGTGTATAAGGTGAACAGGAAAGGAGACAGCACAGTCCCCTGTGGGGCTCCAATACTACCAACCACCACATCAGACAGCACACTGCCCAGCCGGACGTACTGTGGTCTGTCCGTGAGGTAGTTGGTAATCCAGGAGATGGTGGACGAGTTTACCCTCATAGCCTGCAGCTTGTCACTCAGTAGCCGAGGCTGGATCGTGTTGAATGCACTGGAGAAATCAAAAAAGGTGATTCTCACAGTGCAACCCGATCCATTCAGGTATGAGTGAGCACGCTGCAGCAGGTAAATAATGGCATCGTCCACCCCCAGGTGAGGCTGGTAGGGCAAATTGCAGAGGGTCAAGGAATGATCTCACCTGCGGTCTGAGATGGGCCAAGACCAGTCTCTCAAGCACCTTCATCACATGAGATGTGAGTGCTACAGGGCGATAGTCATTGAGCCCAGAAGGAGTTGTCTTTTTAGGGACCGGAACAACGCATGATGTCTTCCACAGCACCGGGATGGTCTCCAAGTGCAGGCTCAGGTTGAATATATACTGGAGAACAGGAGCCAGCTGGCGTGCACAGGTCCTCAGGACCCTGGGGCTGATACCATCAGGGCCAGCAGCCTTGCCTTGGTGGAGTTTTTCCATCTGACTCTGGACCTGTCCTGTGCTCACAGTGAAGCGGGGGGGGGGGGCTTGATGGCAGGGGGGATAGAGAGGGGGGGGGTCTGAGGCAAGATGAGCAGAGAGGGGGGGGGGGGGGTCAGGGGCAATGTGAGCAGAGGGGGGGGGGACAGATGTGTTCATGACCACTTATATATTTACTTTGAATTCATTCACAGTGCGGTATAATGAGACAACAACAGGCTACAGTTCAAGGTTCAAGGTTCAAGGTTCTTTATTGTCAATCTGACATAGCTACAGAGTAATTATGTAGTTGAACATCTTATGTCACAGGCTTCTCCAACAATGCAACATAATAACATAATAACAATAAGAGCAATAAGAGCAAGAGCAATACAAAAAGAAAAATAGTTATAAAATAAAAAAAGATACATACACACACACACACACACCACACACACACACACACACACACACACACACACACACACACACACACACACACACACATATGTATATATTTATATAAATATATACAATTTCAGAATCAAACAGAGCACTCTCATAATAACGTAACACTATCAGTCGCTTGCAATGAGGGAAATAATGACGGGCCACCAAAAGTTTTATTTACAAGTATTACAAGTAAGCAGAGGACACCAAACCAGCTGAGACCTGTCTGTCCGCTGCATCTACGCACACACTGTACCACACACACCTACACTACACACACGCACCTACACACTGTACCACACACACACCTACACCACACACACGCACCTACCAACTGTACCACACACACCTACACACTGTACCACACACACCTACACACTGTACCACACACACCTACACACTGTACCACACACACACCTACACCACACACACGCACCCTACACACTGTACCACACACACACACACACCACACACACGCACCTACACACTGTACCACACACACCTACACACTACCACACACACCTACACCACACACACGCACCTACACACTGTACCACACACACCTACACACTGTACCACACACACCTACACACTGTACCACACACACCTACACACTGTACCACACACACACCTACACCACACACACACACCTACACACTGTACCACACACACCTACACCACACACACACACCTACACACTGTACCACACACACCTACACACTGTACCACACACACACCTACACCACACACACACTACACACTGTACCACACACACCTAACAACTGTACCACAACACACACTACACCACACACACGCACCTACACACTGTACCACACACACACACACCACACACACGCACCTACACACTGTACCACACACACACCTACACCACACCACACGCACCTACACACTGTACCACACACACCTACACACTGTACCACACACACCTACACCAACACACACACCAGCTCCTTAAAGCATAATCAGGCTACAGCCGTTGTGTATTTTATTTTGTGAAGCACTAAATGGTTTTAGAAAAATATCGACTTTGTTTGTAGATATCTACTAAACTAAAGCAAAGAGAGTAGGCCTGTTATACTGAGTGATATATATGATCACACTGCTCTGCTTTCTGCACGGACCTCACAGCTGTTGGCAGATTGTGCAGCCTTTAGCATTGATTGGGTTGGCTCCCACTTAAAGCTCCAAGTCTGCCATCTTTATTGTCATGAGAGACGCCAGTGTCCCCTCCAGGGCCAGGCTGTCCCTTGTTTAGTCCCACCACAGAAAACACTCGCTCTGCGTCAGCATTTGAGTGTGGCAGGACTAACACAAGTTTGGCAACAGTGGAGAGTCTATCAAACCTGCCCACACCTGTCACCTGTAACACATGAACAACAGGGTTGAGTTGCACAATGAATACACACATGTCACTCTAAATGAGTCCACATTGTGGAATGAGACACAGATATCTGACCTTGTGTTTTCAACTGGCCATGTTGGCCCAGAAGCCCTCAATATCTGGGTCTGCTTCCAATGCACAGGCATGGTCTGGTAGTCCAGGACCTCCTCCCCCAATGAGTCATGGCCTGGTAGTCCAGGACCTCCTCCCCCAATGACTCATGGCCTGGTAGTCCAGGACCTCCTCCCCCAATGAGTCATTGTCTGGTAGTCCAGGACCTCCTCCCCCAATGAGTCATGGCCTGGTAGTCCAGGACCTCCTCCCCCAATGACTCATGGCCTGGTAGTCCAGGACCTCCTCCCCCAATGAGTCATTGTCTGGTAGTCCAGGACCTCCTCCCCCCAATGAGTCATGGCCTGGTAGTCCAGGACCTCCTCCCCCAATGAGTCATGGCCTGGTAGTCCAGGACCCCCTCCCCCAATGAGTCATGGTCTGGTAGTCCAGGACCTCCTCCCCCAATGAGTCATGGTCTGGTAGTCCAGGACCTCCTCCCCCAATGAGGCATGGTCGGGTAGTCCAGGACCTCCTCCCCAATGAGGCATGGCCTGGTAGTCCAGGACCTCCTCCCCCCAATGAGTCATGGTCTGGTAGTCCAGGACCTCCTCCCCCAATGAGTCATGGCCTGGTAGTCCAGGACCTCCTCCCCCCAATGAGTCATGGTCTGGTAGTCCAGGACCTCCTCCCCCAATGAGTCATGGTCTGGTAGTCCAGGACCTCCTCCCCAATGAGTCATGGCCTGGTAGTCCAGGACCTCCTCCCCCAATGAGTCATGGTCTGGTAGTCCAGGACCTCCTCCCCAATGAGTCATGGTCTGGTAGTCCAGGACCTCCTCCTCAATGAGTCATGGCCTGGTAGTCCAGGACCTCCTCCCCAATGAGTCATGGTCTGGTAGTCCAGGACCTCCTCCCCCAATGAGTCATTGTGGGCTGTGGGAGGGGAGAAGGTGGGCATACCTTTTTTGAAGAGAAACAAGGGTAGAGTTAGAAACTTCTATTCACTCTGAGATACACTTCAAAGGTCAGGGTGAAACTGAGTAGTTGGTATATTTGTTTATATTGGTTATTCATTTCTGAAGAATTTGAAAATAAATGAATATATACATTTGACCTGTCAACAAAGTAGAGCGCATCCTCCACCCCACATTCTGCCATCCGCCTCACATCAAGACACCTGGCATGCTTCAGCAAGGGCTCACTAGAGGCAGCCTTCTTCATACTCGTGTGGAAGAACTCCACTTTCTGGGCGGTGATGTCCCCAGCATCCAGGAGATGATTGAGCCTCACCCTGGTGATGTCCCCAGCCTCCAGGAGATGATTGAGCCTCACCCTGGTGATGTCCCCAGCCTCCAGGAGATGATTGAGCCTCACCCTGGTGATGTCCCCAGCCTCCAGGAGATGATTGAGCCTCACCCTGGTGATGTCCCCAGCATCCAGGAGATGATTGAGCCTCACCCTGGTGATGTCCCCAGCATCCAGGAGATGATTGAGCCTCACCCTGGTGATGTCCCCAGCCTCCAGGAGATGATTGAGCCTCACCCTGGTGATGTCCCAGCATCCAGGAGATGATTGAGCCTCACCCTGGTGATGTCCCCAGCATCCAGGAGATGATTGAGCCTCACCCTGGTGATGAAGCCGACATTCAGTTTGTATCCTGTTAGAGATGCAGAAAACACAATCAAATCCAATGTCCTTTCATAAAAGCACTTCCACACCTTTCCTTGAGCTTCATTATAGCATTTGAATGATTACTCATGTCATTCCAAAAGACAATTATACATATAAATACAGTACGAT